GCCAAACATGAGCCAGCGCGTCCTTGCTTTTCGAGAAAAACTTCGGGCAATGAGCGTTTTCGTGGGACGCGAATAGGTCCACCTGTGCTCTGCCGAACGTTTTCCACAGCAGCTGGACCGTCTGCGGGTGCAGCGACCACTCCCCTGCTGGAACATTGTTCCTGGACAGTCTGTCTGGTCCCACATTCAGGTGACCAGGCACGTGCGCTGCTCTCAGTGAGAGCAGGTTGTGCTGAGCCCAGACCAGGAGGCGTTCCGTCAGCCTGTGAAGGTTTCGTGACCTGACGCCGCCCTGGCGATTTATGTATGCCACCACTGACATGTTGTCCGACCGGACCAAGACGTGGTGGCCTGTTACCTGGGGGAAAAAAAACGCCGTAGCGCTTTGTCGACTGCTATCATCTCCAAGCAGTTTATGTGAAGGAGCTTTTCCCGTTCTGACCACAGGCCAGCTAGCGGTCTGCCCTCGAGCAGCGCTCCCCACCCCGAGGTGGAGGCGTCCGTAGACACCACCTTCACACTCGAAGCGGTCCCCAGACTCACACCTGACTGATACCAGTCGGTTATTTTCCAAGGTTCCAGAGCTGAAACACACTGTAGGTCGACCCTGAGGCGAAACAGACCCGCTGTCCATGCCCTGGGTGGAACCCGCGCTTTCAGCCACATCTGCAGTGGGCGCATGCGAAGCAAGCCCAACTGGAGTACAGAGGCTGCTGAGGCCATCAGCCCCAGCATTTTCTGAAACCTTTTGAGCGGAACTATCGAGCCGTGGCGGAAGGATTTCGCGACGCGCTGAATATTTAGTCCGCGCTCTGGTGACAGGCGTGCCGTCATGGATAGCGAGTCTAACACTGTTCCCAGAAAGGAAATTTTCTGACTGGGAGACAGTGAGCTCTTCGCCCAATTGACTGTGAGGCCGATCGTGATCGAGCTAGAATCAGCCAATCGTCCAAGTAGTTCAGGACTCGCATGCCCTGAAGTCTCAGGGGTGCGAGCGCCGCGTCCATGCACTTCGTGAATGTACGAGGTGCTAGGGACAGGCCGAACGGCAGGACTGTGTATTGATATGCCTGGCCCTCGAAAGCGAATCTCAAGAATCGTATGTGATGGGACGCTATTTGTATTTGGAAATAGGCGTCTTTCAGATCTATTGACATAAACCAGTCCCCGTGGCGCACTTGCGCGAGGATTTTCCTGGTCGTAAGCATTCTGAACTGGCGTTTCACAAGCGCTCTGTTCAGCTGTCGCAGATCTAAAATGGGTCTGAGACCCCCATCCTTTTTCGGTACCAGAAAATATCTGCTGTATAGGCCCCCTTCGCTCTGAGCCTGAGATAAAGGTTCTATAGCCCCTTTGCTCAGTAGTTTCGCTATCTCGGCACGAAGTAGATGAGACACTTCGTTTTTCAGCGTAGTTTCGACACGCGCCGTATAACGGCGAGGGCGTCGAGCGAATTGTAGCGAATAGCCTCTCTTTATAGTGTTCAGCACCCATTCTGATACCCCGGGAAGCTTTGACCACGCATCTGCGTGAATAGCTAGAGGCAGAATGAAATCCGGGCTCTGGCCGCGGCAAAACGGCAGCTCGAGAGCCCTGGTATACTGGGAACACAACACCGTGTTTACAGCGTTCGAGGCGGGGGGCGCGCTGATCACAGCGGGCAGCCTGGCCGCGCTCAGCTTTTCTATGGCAGATTGTGCAGAAAAAGTGAGCGGGGCAGATCCCGTAGGATTCGGCGTGTCTGTGAGAAAATGTGGGCGCGGGACTGCGGGCACATTTACTACACTGAAAACATTGTCGGTCAGAGCCGACTGAATGTGTGTTGGTTTCGTTTTTACAGAAACCAAGGGACACGCAGCATGCAGTGTAAGCGGGCATTGTGACATGGGCGCGTTCACTACATTGTTTGCACAATCGACCTGAGTCGATTTTATTTGTGCTAGCCCTGCACCGTGGCGGGCTGTGTCTGGGTGTGGGAATGGGCACTGGGGCGTGGGCATTCTTACAACACTCATAACACCATCGGCCGTGGCCGGAACACCAGAAAATGCACTCTTTATTGGATTTATCTGGGTAGCCGTAAAAACGGCTTTTGTGCGCAGGCAAGCGGGCTGAGACACCGGCTGGCTCACTGCGAAATACACTGGGACAGTCGCGATGCTTGGAACTGACCGAGCGAGAAGTTTTGGTGGAAATCCGGCCGCAGCGGGATCTGAACACCGTCGCTTTCCTAGAATGGCTAGGAAGACTTTAAGGCCTCGGGCTTGATCTCAATCCTCGGCCGGGGCCCGTGCTGAGGGGGGCGGCGTCCAGCAGAGCGAGAGCGCGGTTTTTGGTCTCGGGCGTGGCGGCGCTGTGAAGCGGCGGGCGGTGCAGGTTGCGGCTGAGAGCTGCGAGCAGACGGCTGTTTTGAGCGGCCTGCAGCGGAGCTCGAGCGCTTCGGAAGGAAGTGCTTCATAGCCTGCAAAGTCTTCTGCACCTCCGTGAATCTGTCCGCGAAATCTTTGACGGCAGATCCGAAGAGGCCCGCTGGTGAAATGGGCGTGTCGAGGAACACAGAGCGCTCGGCTTCCGTCATCTCGGACAGCGTCAGCCATAAGTGTCTCTCAGCCACGGTGAGAGAGGCCATATTCCGTCCTATGGCCTGTGCAGCGGCTTTAGCAGCGCGAAGAGCGAGGTCTGTAGCGCTTCTCAGGTCCGCCACGCAGATCGCTTCGGGTCCTTCCTCGTCCAGTTTAAGGAGAAGGTCGGCCTGGAAGATCTGCAGGATAGCCATAGTGTGCAGCGCTGAAACTGCTTGCCCGGCGGCGGTGTAAGCGCGTCCGTGCATGGCTGACGTCACTCGGCAGGCTTTAGATGGTAGCGTCGTGTGAGCGCGCCGTCCAGCGGAGGGCGGGCAGAGATGAGACGCTACAGCTGGTTCCACAGGGGGAACGGAGAGGTACCCTCTGTCCTTCGCGCCATCCACCGAGGAGAATGCAGCAGAGGCAGAGGTACGCAGCCTGGCGGAGAAGGGGGCGTTCCACGACTTAGTCACTTCCTCGTGTAGTTCCGGGAGGAAGGGCGCGGGCCTTGACTTTGACGGAGCCTCGTCATTTCCGAGAAAGCGTCCGTCCAGTCTGTTGCGCGGCGGTTGCGCGGGCGCCTCCCAGTCGAGGCCGATGCTTTCCACAGCCTGAGAGAGCAGACGCATCAGCTCAGTCTCAATGCCGGCTCTCTTACCAGTGGTTTGGCGGGAAACGCTAGCGGAGGGGAGGTCCACGGAGCTCGCCCAATCCTCGCTATCAGATGCCAGAAGAGAACACGCCTCGGTGGGTTCGTCGAACTCGTGGACTCGAACTCGTTGTCCGTCAGTGAGCGACTCGAGCAAAGCCGGCGAAGCTGGCGGGCGAACCGGCGAGCTTTGGCGGGCTGGAGAGAGCTCGGGAGCGCGCTGGGCGTCCTCAGAGTCACCATAGGCAAAAGCTCGCAATGAGGGCATCCGCCGTCAGCGAGCGCGATGGCCGCGTGATCCTCACCCAGGCAGGACACACAGATGACGTGACGGTCCCCGTCGCTGAGTGGGGCGCGGCACGAGCCACAGGATGGCATCTTTAAAAAGACGCAGCTCTTTTGTGATGAGAAGTGTGAGTCGCGTCAAGTAAGCGAGCAAACACTCTCAGCAGAGTAAGGATACAAAGTGATATAAAAGGATATAGAACGCCGGAAAGCGCAGCAGGTACGGCAGTTGAAGGCGGCGAGGCCAGCGACTCCAGAGCTCGTCCCGCTGAAAAGCTTGCTTCGACGGCGCGGCTTCTCACTCCGGATCCAGCGATGCGTGTGCTTTGCTGAAGAGATGAAAATCAGCTTGTACCAGCCTAACAAGCATATTTATAGAGTGAGACCACGCCCTTTCTGGCGGGACGTGACGATATGGGCGCGAGTTGCCCCCATTGGTCATTACGTCACGCAGAGTCTCTCTCGATAGGCTGCTGCATTTGCCGCAAGAGCAGCCAATAGGCGAGCTGTTTCGCCTGTGTCTGCTTGCTGCTGCAAAGCGTTTTACATTAATAAAAAATTAAGGATAATTTTTGGCTTCAATATCTCGTGGAAAAGAGGTTTTCCCCTAGCGTAAGCTATTACGCAGTACGAGAGATACTCTCGTAAGAGAACATCTGTTTAACAAGTACCTGTAAGCTTTTTTTGTAAAAAGTCTTTCAGTAGCCTATTTATTATTATTTTGTATTTATTTACCTTTTTTTTCTTTTAATTTCTTCTCTACCCCTGACATGTATGGTTATATGTACTCTTATGTGTAAACTGTTTTGTTATTATAAAAAAAAAAAAATATATATATATATATATATATATATATGCCGTGACCTGAAAGTTTTTATTTATAGAATTTTCGAGAAAAGGTCAAGTGTCTGGAATACCGTGATGTTCGGAATACAGTGAGTCATCACCCCGTGCCTGGAGCTGATTATTACTCTCGCACGTCATGCTTTATCTAGCACTCCTTCACACGTGTATAACACGTACTTCGTACGTGTTTTACAACCCCCCTTGACTTTCTAGTTAGTAACTCGAATTTAGATAGAAATAACTGTTTACTAGAGGCTACAGTCATATCATGCAGAGGGCGCTCGGTGGCTCAAAAAGCGAGATAGCCACATCGCCTACTGAGCACCGTTCATCTCCGAGGCTTAATTTGGCCCGATTAAAGTTGTCCCTTTTTGTTGTTTGAATCAATTCATAGTCCACGTCACCAGACATTGTGGAATCATTAAGAAAAAGGTTTCATCCTTCCATGAATTGTGATGGGTCCCTCATATTGTGACCCAATTTTACTTTTGAATAAATAAGGAGTGATTGCATCTGTTTAAATAATACTAATACTAATATTGGGATATATAAAAATTAGGAAACACATGTCTATGGCAACACAAGGTACACAAAATAGCATCCGGGTCGCCTACTTTTTGAACACACCCACTTCCGTTTAAGGTGACGTCCCGTGTTTCCTATATGACTATAGCGTCTACTCTTGAACATCCTCAAGTTTATGAGACATTTGGGGTCGAGTCCATGCGAGATTATTGATCACTGATCAGTTGATTTGACGTCCATCATGTCGAGTCGTGCTTTGCGTAGGCTGAAGGGCGAGCAGCGCGCTCAGGCCGCTTTACACGCGCTCAAACTTACTGAGGAAGATGACAAAGATGAAGACGAGCAGATGAAGACTAACACACAAGCAGCCCATAAGCAGAAAAACATCAGCAACATATTTGAGCTGGTAACATCTTGCATGTGTGATTGTCATGTTGTAGAGGTGGAATTACTATGGTACTTTGATATGGTATTGAATGATTACTATACATGATATTTACATGATAAGTTACTTCAGTGTGCTTAAAGTTATTAGTCTAAAAGCTTTTTGGTGCCCAAAATACCATAGTAATTCTGAAATATGAGCTGTTGTATGATTTGTTTGTCGTCACATATGAATGCTGCTTGCGTGTAGTTCACATATTTATTAGTTGCTGCCTTCACGTCTACGTATCGTAAATACGAGTTTCCTAGTTAAAATAAATTGGACATCAACTGGGAAGTTCGGGGATAATTATGATTTCCTGCCACAAATTTTAAACATGGCGAAGATTGCTGCGGTGACTGTATTCTTTATTATATTTTCCACAAGAGTTACATCGCCAGGGTCGGCGCTAGAGCTCAAAAGTGTAGGCTACATGTTGACATGTTGCATGTACAATTTTAAAGGAATATTCAGAAACCGGTGCAACGAAAAAAAAACAAAAAAAAACAAGCACGAAACTGTGAATAAAATAATTGTATATGTACAATTTAATAACATTATCATATATGACTGGGGTGTTCGTCAACTGATTGCATGACGTCAGAGTTTCCAGTGTTGACAGCTCCATTAAAAAAAGCCTACTGGAAGCGCTGTAGTTTTGCTGTACTATACTAATAAATATGAAAAGTAGCCTACAATTACACAAATAATAAGGAATCACCAAAATGAAAATTCTGGATGCACTTGGATGAAAACTGAAACCAAATATTACTTTTTTAAAAATGATTAATTTCTTATTTTAAATTAATATTTTGTATAATTGTATCATTATTAGACTTTTAAATTAAATGCAATAATTTTACTTAATCGTAATTTAAAAAACTGCAAGCCAATAAAAGAAAAATTACCACTTTTATTTAAAGTGACACAAAAATGAGAAAATAGTCCTATATTCAAATATTAAATATCAATATAATAAAGGGATAGTTCACCCAAAAATGAAAATTACACCATGATTTACTCACCCCCAAGCCATCTTAGGTGTACATGACATTCTTCTTTCAGACAAATACATTAAAGGGAGTGGGGGTTCAATCTTCAGCTGGCTGGCAGCTGCCAGTCTGATTCTGGCACGTCACGTGACCTGTTAGTGGCTGTCTGGCAGTCTGCCTTTGCCAAGTTTCAGAAACCATTGATTTTTGGCAGGTTTTGTGTTCCTCCCTTTCTAGCTCATTTATTATGCAACTGTTGATATGATTATGTTCTTTAGTATGATTGATGTTTTGGGGACGGTTATCCCAATTAAACCAGTCAAATGTGCCATGATCAGACTGGCAGCTTACTGACGCTTTGCGCGACACTCATGGAGTCAGCCGCGGCTGAACAGCGAGTATAATGCGTTGCCTGACACTCTCGCTCCAAGGAAATTAATAGTTTTCTTATTAAGAATATATAATCATGCATCTATTCTTTAGTATAATTGATATTTTGGGGACTGTTATCCCAATTAAACCAGTCAAATGGCCATGATCAGACTGGCAGCTTACTGACACTTTGCTCGACGCTCATGAGTCAGCCGCAGCTGATCTGCGAGTATAACGCGTTGCCTGACACTCTCGCTGCACGGAAATTAATAGTTTTCTTATTAAGAATATAATCTCATGCATTTATTATTTTGTATGATTGGTGTTTTGGGGACTGTTATCCCAATTAAACCAGTCAAATGTGCCATGATCAGACTGGCAGCTTACTGGCACTTTGTTGGCCGCGGCTGATCTGCATGAGCGTCCAGCAAAGCGTCAGTAGCTGCCAGTCTGATCATAACGGTCCCCAAAACATCAATCATACTAATGAATAGATGTATGAGATTATATTCTTAATAAAAAAACAATTTATTTCCTTGCAGCGAGAGTGTCAGGCAACGCGTTATACTCGCAGATCAGCCGCGGCTGACTCCATGAGTGTCGAGCAAAGCGTCAGTAAGCTGCCAGTCTGATCATGGCACATTTGACTGGTTTAATTGGGATAACAGTCCCCAAAACATCAATCATACTAAAGAACATAATCATATCAACAGATGCATAATAAATGAGCTAGAAAGGGAGGAACACAAAAACTGGCAAGTTTCAGAAACCATTGATTTTTGACAAAGGCAGACTGCCAGACAACTAGCCAGCCACTGACAGGTCACGTGACATGTCAGAATCAGACTGGCAGCTGCTAGCCAGCCACTGACAGGTCACGTGACGTGACGTGCCAGAATCAGACTGGCAGCTGCCAGCCAGCCACTGACAGGTCACATGACATGCCAGTGGCGGCTCCTGCCAGCCAGCTGAAGATTGAACCCCTACTGATTAAAGGGGTCATCGGATGCCCATTTTCCACAAGTTGGTATGATTCTTTAGGGTCTTCATGTAACGTTTGTAACATACTTTAGTTAAAATAAAGTCCTTCTGAAGCGAAGCTATGGGTTTTTGTAAGAAAAATACCCATATTTAAAATATTTATAAATTTATAATCTAAAATAATTAGCATATATGCAAGCAAGTCGATTTACGAAGTGTAACCCTTGACGCTTGTATGACTTATGTTGTAGGAGTATCTCGCGTAAACGCCTCTCGCAGTTTAAACAAATAGGGCTGTGCAACAAACTGAAGCTCCTCTTCTATCGTATAGAAATCTTCCAAAATTTCTCTTTAAAATTGCTAATTCGTGACCGGTGTTTTGTTTTGCTCTTTCCTCTGATCTTCTGCGTTCGCCATTACGTTGTGCGTCGGATCAGGGGTTAGTCTTCCACCGTAAATCGATGCGTACGGCCGTCTGTTGGAAGCTGATTAGGCCTATAGTTTATAAAGTTTTAGGCTATGTTTACACGGAAACGATCTGAAGAGAAAACGCAAAAGTTGCGTTATCACTTTGTATTCTGCGTTTAGACGAGCGTTATGGGTGGGAAATCTGCGTGCATATGGTGACGCAAAAGTGTGTGAAATTCGATGTAGTATGCACTCTAGGTGGCCACCGTGAGCAGATCTGTGCCTTCACTGTCTAGCAGACTTTTGCGTTTTTACCCTTTAGACGGGAATGCGACGGTGGGGCGTTTTTAAGATTTTCACTCTGGAGGGTGGTTTCACTTTTTTGTGTTTTTAAGCCCCCAAAACGCCGTCGCTGTGTAAACGAAAGGCACATCTGATAAAATATTTTTACGTTTTCACCCGTGAGCGTTCTCGTGTAAACAGGGCCTTAAATATGGGTAAAATTCTGCGTGAGAGTGAAACCTGATCGCTGAACACGGAGGGTTCTTTTTAGGGATGGGCATTTTTCAAAAATATTGCATTCGAATATTCGGGCTCATAAAAATCGAATATTCGTTTATAGGGGTGGGGGAAAAAATCGATTCTTAGATGCATCGCGATGCGGACGTGGACGATTCTGAATCGATTCACAATTGTCAAAAATCGATTTTCAAAAAAAAAAAATTTTTTTTAGATATATATTTATAATAACGTAATATTGACGGAACGCGAAAGACGGAACTCTGAAGCGCGGAAGTGCAGTGGCCGGACCGTCTGTGGCGTGCACATAACAGACGCGGACGCGATGGCTGAGCGCCAAATCCAAACACCCTCCTCGTTAAAAGCTGACGTGTGGAAATATTTTGGCTTCTGAAGTTGAAGGGGGAAAGGAGCTGGACAAGAGCCACACTAGTTGTAAGCTTTGTAGAGTAAAACTAAAATATTTCGGAAACAAGACACATGAAGCCAAATGACACGTTTCCAGCCAGAGGAGGAAAAACACTCGGCTGTAACGTTACCGGTCGTTGTTATATTATTAATTTACTACAAATATGCTGCTGCTAGTTCAGACACACATGTATTTTCCTGTTGGTTCTTTGCAATGTTAATAAAATATATTGTACGTTAATTCTTTATGGGTCATTACTTTGTACTTTTAAAGCAAAGTATTTATAGTCACACACACACAAAAAAAAAGATTCTGATAATCGATTTAGCATCGAATCGGAGCCCTCTGAATCGTAATCGAATCGAATCGTGAGGTGCCTAGAGATTCCCACCCCTATTCGTTTATTTAAATGACGTTTAACGAAAAAGATGTTTTTTTTTTTTTTTTTTACATTTTTGTCACCATTTCTGAACAAGCTTACAATTAGGCAATATACACAACAAGCTTACAATATGTTAAAGTTTTCTTTTAGTTGAAAACATTAAACAGTAGGCCTATGTGTAAACAAAAAATATAATAAACAAAAGCATTAATAAAAGCATGCTCAAGCAGCGCGAACGGAAAAAAAAATGCCTAATAAAGCGATTGCGCCAGATATCGTACAGAACGTACAAACACACTCGAGTCAGCGTATGATTATCGTGTTTATATTGTTTCACATTTATATTGAGAAAAACAATATTATCCACATGCAGGGGCGCCACCAGCAATTTATGCTCGAGTGAGAAAAGGCGCTTTGCTGACAGACGCTTCAGAGAAACAAAGATATCGGTGTTCTAAGTTTCTAACAGCACTTTGCGTTTTCTGTTCTTAAACCGGTCTCCCTCAACGAAACTTAAAGGAAGTATATGTCTCAAAATCATTAAGCTATAAGATAAGTTATCATCTCGGATCACGCGGGGTCCAGCTGCGCTTTACCTGCAGTTTATTCATACCTCTACTATTGAATCCAACGTATCATCTTTCGCTTCCATGGTGCTGTTAAGTACGGATTTCAGTCTGTTAGGTAAACTAAATGCTATTGGCTATTTGAAAAGGGGGAGGAGCCATTCAATGTCCTGCATTAGCTTCCTGTTTCAGTGAAAATTACGTCAACGCATCATACAAAGCTGCGCGTTCCAAGGCACTTCAGTGGGCATTAAAAGGAACACTCCACCGTTTTTTGAAATTGGGGTTATTCACTGTCTCCCCTACATTTAGATGGGTGGGCAAATGCATTTTTGTCTCAGTGCATGCATTGTTTTAGTCTGGCAACGCCGCCGCTAGCTTAGCTTAGCATAATGAATGGAATCCTATGTTGCCAGGTAGCATGTCGTGAGTAAAAGTGATAAAAAAATAAAAATAATTACTTCTTGTGGCCTGCTTATTCGAATACTGCTTATTCGAATACAAATAGCAATGCTGATTATGACTATGATTTCCTAGGCAGAGATTGATTTATGACTATATGAGGGGGAAGCACAGGCGAAGCACTGCTACTTGGGCGCAGAGATATCACGCAACACCTGAAATAAAGCTTGCCATAAAGAACCGGTGAAAGTAATGATTATGCATGAAACATTTGAATTGTTGATAAAATTTATAAAGTTGACGATGCAGACTCGCCATCTTCGCAGTAGTGAACGCGCCTATAGAGAGAAATGCACACTTCATATGAATTAGCCTACGAGCAGAGAGTAGCCAATTTCTTTTAGTTTTAATTGTTTTGTTTAAAAGTACACATTTCAAGCTTTCTATAGATATACAGGTCTGTGAGGCAAGTAGCTTATACACTGAGTTTCGGTTCATTTACGCGATGCAGTTCACGCGCCGGCGCCTCCGTGTCTTGATTATATTGTCCACTATATTTGCTTATTTATTAATCCAGGCAAATTTACTTGATGAAACATTGATTAAAATGAAGATACAATTTATACAAAACGAAATTAAGCAAAAATAATATTCGAAGATCGCTGGGTATTATTTGATTATTATTCGAAACTCGCACCCCTCCACCACATGCATGTATACTAACTACAGTAAGCTACACACCAGAGCATGTGAGCAAAGCGGAGCGGTGTGACGGTTATAAGTTAAAAAACGTAAACATACGTTTCATATTTATGTTTTAGATAATGTTATTTTTATTTATTTAATCTGTTTATTATATGAAAAGGGAACCGCATGATATGAGTAAGATAGGATTATACGATGACCAATATATCGGAAAACATTGAATGAGTCAGACATGATTTTGACCACTTAAGTTTTGTTTTGTAGAAAGCCTTTCTTTAAAGTTTATTTCGTTTTGTATAAATTGTATCTTCATTTTAATCAATGTTTCAACAACAAATTTGCCTGGATTAATAAATAAGAAGCAAATATAGTGGACAATATAATCAGGACACGGAGGTGTCGGCGCGTGCACACTTCATATGAAGTGTGCATTTCTCTCTATAGGCGCGTTCACTACTGCGAAGATGGCGAGTCTGCATCGTCAACTTTATCAATTTACCAACAATTCAAATGTTTCATGCATAATCATTACTTTCGCCGGTTCTTTGTGGCAAGCTTTATTTCAGGTGTTGCGTGATATCTCTGCGCCCAAGTAGTGCTTCGCCTGTGCTTCCCCCCTATTCCATATATAGTCCCAAATCAATCTCTGCCTAGGAAATCACCTAGGGTGCTTCTCAATATCCCTCCTCGTCTCCTCGCTCCTCCGTCCTCCATCCTATGACCCGGAAACCAATCGAGCTCAGCCATCTTGAAGGACATCTCAATTCTCTAATTGCACCGCGAGGAGGCGAGGATCGAGGAGTGAGGAGGCTTCCAGAGGAGCTATGAGCGAGGATACACAGGTGTACCCTTTGCGGAAGAGTTTTATCGACTAAACATGACGCACGTATCAATTCTCCTCCCCCTTCACATCTGTCACAATCATTTGAATTTATACTTTACTTTTGTAGTTTACATAAACCACACAACTCACATATTTCAACAAGGTATCTTGCTTTATTATTATTTATTATTAATTTCTTAAATAAACAAACTTTTTTTTATCACTTTTACTCGACATGCTACCTGGCAACATAGGATTCCATTCATTATGCTAAGCTAAGCTAGCGGCGGCGCTGCCAGACTAAGACAATGCATGCACTGAGACAAAAATGCATTTGCCCACCCATCTAAATGTAGGGGAGACAGTGAATAACCCCAATTTAAAAAAACGGTGGAGTGTTCCTTTAAATATAATTTCTGCCTCATTCTGTGATATCAAGCGACGTCAGATCACAAAAGAAAGTTATTTCAAACACTCGACTGACGATGTGAGTTTGGAGTAAAAATGTAATTTAATGTTTTCTTTTTATTGTCAACAGGTTTGTAGTTGCTTCTCATTACAAGTTTGGAAAGATAAGTTACTCAAACTCAGCTTTCTGAGATTAGCAGCATTTACTGCGAAGTGTGAACCGATCGAGCCGCTCTGATCACAAAGCGTACGTCACCATGAAACAAGCATATATTTAAAATGCATATACCCCGGCTTTTGCCATCACTTTGACTGCAGCCCTATATTAACTTCACACAAACAAGCATACAACAATCTCTCACTTCACACAAACAAGTGGCTGTCTCACATACATGCAAAACTGTATTGTACGCGTGTATTCATCGTACAGACCGAAATATATGTACAGCCGTGTATAGGTAAAAATGATGCTACAATTTCACAAATGCTATTCTCCAAATGAAACTACTTCAAACAGCCTGTCATACTGCTATCATCTCTGCTGCCCATAGATCGAGTATTAGCCTAATAATGCTTTGTGTCAGTGTCATGAATCATGATGATGCTGTCATGTCAGATACAAAGTCTTTAATGGTGTAATGGTGTCGGTGTGTGTCAGATAGGTGAGGCTGATGTGGATGTATGTCCGTCAGATGAGGAGCCCGCAGAGGGAATCAATGACAGACAACAAGGAGCTCCAATGGGGAAAGATGCTGTGAAGGTGTGTAGAACCTTGATACATTAGCATCATCATCCACATACATAAACGTACAGCCGTGACTTTTTTGTGAGAGTTTTGTAAAATACACTGTTGAGAACATTTGAGTGCATTTTAACTTAATCTTGATTCTTTTCATTTTTCAAATCTGTTTTCTGTTTAATGTTCTTTATTGTAGAATGAGAAGTCAAAGAAAAAGAAGAAGAAAAAGTCACCTGCTGAGAATGGAAAGGTTGGAATTTTTTTTATGCATTTAAACTCAGCAAAAATGGAAACATCCTCTCACTTTCAAAAGTAGCAGTCTGTATCTGGTGTGGCTGCCAGCTGTTTAAATTACTACAGTGTATTTCATCCTCATGGCCTGCACAAGATTTACCAACTCTTGCTGTTAGATGTTACCCCATTCTTCCACTAAGGCATTTACAAATTCTTTAACACATCTGGGGTAGGGATGTAAGAAAATATTGATACACATTAATATTGCAATATTATGTTTGGCGATACTGTCTCGATTCTCAAAAAAATTGTTTCGATATTTATTTGTTTACATTAATTTATTTGTTTACATCCAAGATTCGTGTCATTTGCTTTATGTTTGGTTTAAACCTGACCGCTACATGGCAGTGTTATCTCAGAACGTTAACTGACATGGAAAAGCACAAGGGTGCATCACTAGCGTTAGCAGACCCAGCTAACGAGACGATAGAATTATTCCTGCTCCTGCCGCAGTGAACAGAGCTAAAGTGTGGACTCATTTTGGCTTCCGCTATAAAGAAACCACTAAGGAAATCGACAAGAGTCATGTTGTTTGCAAAATAAGCCATGCTAAAATCCTCTGGAAACACAATCTGAGAGCTCACGTAACATCCCGACTCCATCTGCGCTGTTGAGAGTGGCGTTTCAATAGAATATGTAAATATATGCTTGTTGTGGCAAAAAACAATAATTAACAAAACAAGCATCACAGTAAGAGACATCAGATTCCAATTGTACTTTAAAAGAAAGTTTATTTCTTTTAAAGGAGGGTTGTTCAAGAACACACCACAGCAGCTGCCCTATGATGGAACAATACCTGCCACACACTGCAAACAGGCAGCCTTTATAGCCTTCCTCCTGTAGTTTTCCGTTCACCCCAAACTAACCAGTTCTAGCTAGTTAGCATAATGGACCCTCTAGCCCCCCACATCTTTGGAGTCAAAGGCTGAATACCCCTTTTGTCTCTATAATAATATGAAGGTGTGGGTGATACAATCAGGGTGATTAGATCACATTGCTATGCTGATGAGGTCAGGAAATCTCTGCAAACGACGGTGATTCTCCCACCCCCCTGGGCTTTACTGTCCTCACACCTGCGGAGTCAAAGGCTGAATAGTCTTTGTCTTTCCTGATTACCCATGCTAACTAATTCAGAGATTCTGTCTGACCATTTGCGGTGTGTGTGTGTCTTTGTTTCCACCAGGTATGCAAATATTCCAGGGAGAGACATACATGATTGAATTAAAAGAAAACCCTCACAATGTCTTAAGAAAGTAAATAAGAAAAGACTTAAAATATAAATTTTTCCATAACAATGTACTGCACGCTTTCCTCTCAATAACAAAATAAACACACAACAAAAATAACAGTGGTGAGAGAACAGCAGCAAGAAAGCATCTGATCATAGCGATGTGGATATGTTTGCTCTGCAATTCGGCACATCAGTGAAGGCACATTTATTTCTATAGCGCTTTATACAATAGATGTAGATTCTTTGAAGCAGGATGCTTTTAGTATTAAATATACAGAAACAGTGTCATGCAGTCATGGAACTTTCGACTTTCTGTTGTTAAATACTTGAGAAATTAAATACCGCTAAACTGCGAACCTTTTATAGCAGGATCCAAGAATATATACACACAGTCATGTGAAAAAGAAAGTACACCCTTTTGAATTCTGTGTTTTAGGTATCAGGACACAATAAAAAATCATCTGGTCCTTGGCAGGTCTTACAATTAAGTAAATACAACCACAGATTACATATTACACCTGCTTTCATAGAAATTAAAAGGGTAAGTAGGATTCAGGCACTGCTAATCAAATACCTTTGATTAATTGATCATCAGCAAGCGTGACCATCTCTATAAAAGCAGAAGTTTTGACAGTTTGCTGGATCATTCAGGTGTGTGTTAACACAATGTCAAGGACATCAGCAATGATCTTGTTGCTGAAGCAATTGTTGCTGCCCATCAATCTAGGAACGGTTACAAGGCCATTTCCGTACAATTTGAACTCCATCATTCTATGGGAAGTGAGGAAGATTACTTACAATTACTTACAGATTTGACTGACTTCTGACCTGTAATGCAGCCTGAATCATAATTGTTGTGCTTTTGTTGGCCAGAGGAGAACTGTTCCCCTGACTGAGCCTGGTTTCTCCCAATTTTTTTTTTCTCCATTTAGTCTCACCTGATTGAGTTTGGGTTCCTTGGCACTGTTGCCTCTGGCTTGCTTAGTTGGGGACACTTAATATTCAACAATATTATTGATCTGACTGTACTGACGCTGCTGATTGAGAACTGAACTGAGCTTAACGATGACATCACGGTTTTCTCCAGAGCTGCTGTATATATAAATGAACTAAATTAATAACTTTTTACAACATAAATGAATCAACACTGAACTTAGTTAAGCTGGACAATGACACTATTTTCTTCTAGAGCTGCTGTACAACCGAAACAAACTTTGTTGCATTATTTTCCTAGCCTGACAAGCCAGACCCACATCAAGATGTTGGGTCTGGTAACACACCATTGGCATGGCTCAATCCGAGGGGTGGGATAAACGGTTGTCTTTCAAATTCCTTCTGCACGCAATAGGATAGTGATACAACCAACCAGAGCAACGAAGAAGGTGACGTAGTCCGAACACATCTTCCTTTTTTAAGAATGACTTCAGTGTCGTTCTTTGTTCTTTTCTCAAAGAAAAGCTTGAGGCCAAAGCCGATTTGAAAGACCGCTGTTCGCCAGCAGCAGTCATCTTCTTTGGTTCAAGTAGCAGGGAATTCACGCGGAACCGTCGCAACTCTGCCGTCATTGTTATGCCCACCCACCGACTCTATACACAATGTGATTGGCCTGACTAGAGTTTGGTTTTTCCAGCTCGCAAGCCAACGGAGAGTTGCTATACGTATCTGGCAGCAAAATAAAATTTGCTGCCATTAGGGTGCGTCTAGATTTTTGGAAAAGATTACACTGCACCTTTAAAACAATCTGTATTGTAAAAAGCGCTATATACTGTGGAGTAGTGTTGTTTTTGGCGGCCTGTTTTAATTTTAGTTTTAGTCTGGTCTTTGTGTCAAGCTGTCATTTTAGTTTTTATTAGTTTTAGTCACATTCATACTCTTTTTAGTCTAGTCTAGTTTTAGTCGACGAAAACTGATGACATTTTAGTCTAGTTTTAGTCGACGAAAGACAGTCTAGTTTTAGTCAATGAAAATTGTATTTTAGTCTCTTTTTAGTATACTATTTAACCCAGTCAGTACCTATAGTATAGACGAAACCGAAATTTGCTTTTAGCCAAACCCATTTCAAACAATCTTATCTTCTGTTATCTTATTATATTATTGTTACCTTATAGACTCAAGAATACATCCATTCAGACACTGAAAATTATGGAATGCCAAAGCTGACTTAATTAAAAATAAATAAATACATAAATAAATATACGAATAAATGTAAAAAAGCAAAAATACATAAATAAATACATAAATAAATATACAAAGAAATGTAATAAAGTACAAATAAATGAGTATTTACACTTTTATTTCATTATTTATGTATAATTGTATTTTTTCACACATTTATTTATTTTTTTATTTATACATTTATTCATTTATTTATTTCCACTTTTATTTATTTCCACATTCATTTATGTATATATGTTTTTAAGTCTACATTTATTTATTTTCACATTTATTTATTTATACATTTATTTATTTCCACATTTATTTATTTCCACATTTCTTTGTCCGTATGCTAATGAGGGGGGCGTGTTTTACCTCAGACATCAGCAATCGAGCTCAGAGTGGCAGTGCTGATGCTTTGAGGCCACAGTTACACCTTGTGGTGTGTGACCAAACGAAACGCAAGAGGTGTGCGGACAATATCACATTTTAAGTCATGTATATCACCCTAACTGTATGTAGGGTAGACTATATAGGGTTAACACACATAGCACACATGAACAGAAACTGCACTTCAACAGGTCTGATAGCAGACACTTGGACATGGAAGCGCATGAAAGTATCCACTATTAATAACAATGTAAACGCGGTGGATAGGGCTGATAAGAGCTTGCGTTTATTGTCGATGAGACTCGCACACCAGCGCAGAACGCGGAGAGAAACCAGCGCACATTTCACTGACTCCTACGCAAGCAAATTGATCCGTGTATTGAGTCGCGTTTCAAACTCATTGTTTACATTCGCGTTTCATAATTTCGTATGCATAACAGGTGACAATTCAAATGCTTAAAACACAACCCACATTTCATAGATGGTGCTCTTAGTTAATCACAAGTCATCAATTTGGAATTATTCTTAAATCAAACAAAAGGGGCTCATGTAAACGCAGCTAGTGAGCCACGCATCTCACCCCATGCAGTGGAGGACAGAAGCATCATCATGCCCATCAAACAGCACCTGTCGTGCCCATGGGCGTGGTGATATTTCCCCCTATAAATTGATGTTATATCTACCCAAACCTTATTAAATAGGCTATACATCATCATATATGTCAAGTTCTTAATATTAATCGATAAACTACTCAGTTATAATTATAATAAGGCACTATGGCTGTTATCAGTAAAATAAAATTAACAAAAGTCATTAAGTCATTAAAAGTCAAAATCTTAATACAGAGGAGAATGCTTTTACACTGCAATTACAATTGCATAAAAGTCGTTATGAGATTAATGTTAAAAATAAATGAATATAGAAATATGAAATGATGGAATCAATTAAATTGTATGTTTAAATATGAAACTAAAACAGCCAGTAGGTGGCGGTAAGTCACTGTCTAAACGAGTGAGTCATATCATTAATTCAGACCGATTCATTCAAATACTGATTCATTCAGTTCGGGGTAAAACACCACCTGTTACTGTTAAACTGTACAGCTCAAGGAGCAAAATTATGGCGGGGCGATGTGTGTCTGAGATGAAATGCTGTAAAAAAAAAAAGCCCATGTATGAGAT